AGCTTTCAACCTTGTGTTGATTTGGGAGTTTTATGGGTTTTCTTGAATTAACCAAACAAAGGAGGTCCGGGATCCCTCGAAGTATCTTACCAAAAACGATCACAATAGGTCTTCGATGAAAAGACAATTTTTGGTCATTACCCATTAATCGACCTATCACTTGATCTCAATCGAGGGGAATTGACATGTTTGTGCTTGAGTTTAAAATTCTGAATTTTGATTTTTAAAAAAATGGTAACTCCATGTTTAATCTATAAAGATTTTGATTTTTAATACTCCCTCCGTCCAAATTATAGATGTTGGGTTTCATTTTTCTTTTGTCCCAAATATATAGGCTTGTTTCATAATTTAGAATATTTTGTTTCGTTCATTTACCAATATACCCTTATTCAATTTTCCTCACTTAATATGTTAACTTCTTGAAATCATCCAAATACACACATTTCCACTTCTTGGAAATATGGAACAGCTCTCATTTTTTTCTTTTTCAAATTAAATATTCAAATTCTTTACTAATTTCAACAATAATTTACTACTACATATAAAAAATTAAATAAGGGTAAACTAGGAAATACCTTGACAAAAATTAATTTTCCAATGACATTAAAGAAGAATTCTTAATTCGTGTGAAAAATGAAACAAGCCTCTGTAATTGGGATAGAGGGAGTAACAAGATACATATGTTACATGTATAAAGTGAAATTTCGTTTCCCTTCTTGATTTGGGGATTTCGGCCAACGTGCAAGTGTGTAACACAATATGTCATCTTAAAAAGTAGTATGTTAGCTGCACTTGAAATTTGAAATTTTTTATAAGATGTTATGAAAGATGTCACTTGAAATGTTTATTTTTTAATAAAAAGTGACACTGTGTCTTTCAAAATTTTTTGATACCTCAAAATTTTGAAAATGTTACACCCCCTACCTAAACCGCTTCGGTCACGCACTCCCCGAAGTTCCACTTGTTCACCCGAAGTGGTTTCAAAGTGGTTTCCACTCTTGACTTCTTGTCATGACTTTTTAGTTCAAACGGAAATTCCCACAGACGGCGCCAATGAAAGGTGGTGATTCAACACCCTTCTAGTTAACCGGTAATGTTTGCCGTTTCCACCACTCCGTCAAGTATGCAAGACCTGCAAAATGAAGGCGGGGCTTTCTCCCCCGTTTTACCTCCGCGCGTGAGAATTAGTTTTCAAACTTGGAAAGAATATATTTGAAAATCAGATGGCTAAAAACGAGAATGTGAGCTAAAAAATCATCCCTTACCTGCGTCTCATCCGGGGGTATTTATAGATATTAGGCACTAGGTAACCGTTGGGCGGTTGTGATGCCACGTGTCCCACGATGATATTCCCACTACACCCACGTTCTGAGTGATGAGCCCTTAACTTCCCGTCTGAAGATTGTACCTGTATCAGTGGCCATGTAACCTTGTCGATTCGTTAAAGGTTTTATGGCTAAGTGTTTGGACAAAGGATATCATTCCCGTTGAAGATTTCGCTTAGTGGTAGAATGATTTCTTGAGGTAGCGGTAGAGCGCTCCCTAGACGTAGTGGTAGAACGCTCCCTAAATGTAGTGGTAGAGCGCTCCCTGGGTGTAGTGGTAGAACGCACTATGAGGGTCGATGGTCTTGCATCGGTGTGCTGTGATCTGCTTTGCTCGTCCTCGGAGGTGTCTCCTTCTACCAACCTATATCACGTAGTAATATAAAAATTTGATCACATTATAGTGACGATTTAATGATGAATCTCCACGGACTATAGAAACGACGACGTCCTCACTTCGTTCTTATTTTTCTTCTCCTCCACTCCGCGAAACCCTACCTGCAAACCCTAAGTAAGAATTTATTCTGTTAGATTTAGTATTGTTATCTCCATTGATTTGTTTTGCAATGAAGAAATTCTGATAAACATGATTATAAAGCAAGATCACACCACCAGTTCTTCCGCCAACGCGTGCGGCAACTGCGGTGTGGAGGAGCGGCGGCTACTCCACCACGTCCGCCACCGTGGGATCTTCCGTCGGCTCTGTTCCACCTGTGTCCTCCGCCTTCACCCTCAATCATTCTGCCCCTCCTGCTTCCAGGTCTACCCTCCCTCTCCACCACACGACTCCATTATCACGTGTTCCAAATGCTACTCCTCTTCCCACTCGTACTGTGTCACCTCCCCCACTTCTCCAGGAAACCACTATATTTGCCCCCTCTGTGTTAACCCAAACTCTCCAATTTTTAACTTGAAAAAGGAAACGGAAGCGAATGTTATTGGCGAGGGTGAAAGTTTGGACGTCAGTGGAAATAGTGAGGTTTATAGGGTGATTGATAAGACTGCAGCGAAGACCTTGTTGGCTGCAGCAAAGATTGCCGCAGCGTCTATGTCTAAGGCTGCTGTGGCAGCAAGAGTGGAAGCTGAGCGGAGGGCGAAGGAGGCTGCATTCACAAGGAAAAGGGCAAGAGAAGCATTGGAACATGTGGCATACTTGGTTGTGAGGGAGAAGGTAAGAAAGAAGGAATCAGCTCTGTCGATATCACCTCCGGTTTCCAGGCTTAGTGCTGGTGAAAATGTGCCTCATTTGGGTGGTGGAGGTGGAAGTGGTGGGAATATGGATGATCTGGGTGTTGGTATTGGACACGCGACTAGAGAAAAATGTACTAATGTTAATAATGGCAGCGGTGCTAGAAGTGAAAATGCGGATGGTGGTGTGAATCCGGTGGCAGTTGTGGAAGAGAAGACAAGTTCAACGGGAAATGTGGATGGATTGGATAATTCAAGTCGGGAGTTGGCAGCATTGGATATTGTGGAGTTGAGGGGAAATGAGAAAATGGGTGGAACAAAGGCTTCAGATGAAGTATCAGGGAAGATTTCTAATGATAATTGTGTGCAAATGGATGTTGAAAAAAATGGAGACATGAGAGTGAGTTCTGGATCCAACGATGGGAAGAATAACGTTGGTGGGGGTGAGATGTTGGCTGATTTAGGTTCTGCTGCAGAGAATCACAATTTGCGTGGGGAGAATATGGAGGAAGTGATTGAGGGGATAGTTTTGGTTCCACGTGTTGAGGATCAGATGCAGCACAAGGAAAATTATGAAGGACAGCATAATAATGGGACACAGCAATAGTTAGGAGGTGTTTTTATGGGTAAGTCATTTGAATATTATGAAAATCAAGATGGACTTGTAACTTTTTTGAATGGTTAATATTCTGGGTGTTTGTTCATTTAGTTATAATAGTGGTTTCTGAATTCAGGTTTTCTGATAGCATGCAGAGGCTAGTGGCTATAATTCTTAAGAATGTGATCAGTATTGTGGTAGACGTAGTGAATTATATCTATTTAGATTAGTAGATTTTTATATTTGTCTATCTCATCAATCTTGTGCCAAGTTTTATGTAAAGATTTTCTAGAGCTTGTAATGATATTCTGTACCTCCCCTTTGTTTTGAGAAATTGAATCTGAACTTTGTTTCTTCCCTTAAATGTATCAAATGGTTATATCTCTCTGTTCTGGTGTTACAGTGTTAAACCAATAGTCTTCCAATTTCTCTCATGGTATTGTCTTACTGAACATGGATTACGAAGAATGATTTATTTCTTAGCATTTTAGTGAAATGTTGGTTCGAAATCTACCAATTGATTGGTAATGTAACTAGTCATTGCACCGAAGAACCTCCTCAAAGTTGGGAAATGGAAATTTGACTTGGCCTGAGTGGTACAGATTTGGTCAAGTGGAGTTTTGTTTGTGTGCTGGACTTTTTAAACCAAAGATAGATTCAGATGATGTTGTCATGTATTTTTATATGCCCAACTGGCAACTGGAATGCCTACACAGTTTGTGTATGCTGGAGTCTAACACATATGCATGATCCGTCTTATGATTCTTATGTTGATTTTCGAAATGTTTTCGAAGAGGTGTCAAAATTATCTATCCAGGTTAGGGGAAGAGTAGAATCAATTTCTGTTTTGATTGTAGAAACGTGCATTCTAAATGCCCTTTTCTATTTTATCTATATTCCATGAAACGAAGAGAAAACTCTTTTCAAGCCTCTGTTATTGAGATGAATTTTACATCGTATGGATGCAATTTTTAAATGAAAAATACTATTATCGCATAATTTTGTGTCTGTTGCTGCATTATGAGACGCTAAGAATGGATTCTCTCCTTTTCCGTTGTGCGGTTGATGTATAAATGTATAATAACAACATGAAATGAGGTATCTGACAATCAATCTTGATGGTGTTGCCTAGACCAGTTTTTTTCATTTCAGAACTTTAACATCTGCCCAGATGATAAAGTTATCATAGCTTCTTCCTCAAGAGCATGAAAACCGGTATTGTTTTGAACAATGAAATATCAAATCCCTCTCCTCCTCTGATCATTAAATAGATTTTTTTTTATATTAGTTTTGCACAGGCTGCTATCATAAAGAAATGGAATGGATCATCCTATCTAGGCTAGCAGGAATCAATTCAGGTTTGCGGCGAACAAGTTGAGCATGGTAGTTTCATGCGATCTACCTATTTAATCCAAATGAAAGAAATACTGTCATTTGATTTGTCAATGTGAAGTCCTGGACACTAAATAATACACAGAATAATCGCAATTAAAGAAATCTGCAATACAAAAAGTGGAAGCACAGTGAGGGGGTAAAGGTGGACTGTGATGTGCAGGCACATGGTGGCTCACACTGAATGGCCCCGAGCATTAACACAAAAGCAATGGGCCACAAAGAAAGCAGGCTTTATGTCCAATTAAAATTGGAAAATAATTAAATCTTTAGCCCCAGTTCGGTGGCGATTAATTTGAAAAAAACTATGTTTTGAATAGTATTTTTATGGGAATGTGTAGTTAAAAAGTAAGGAAAAGTGGGTTTACGTGTATAATTTTTTATTGTGTAAATGTGTGGTTGAAAATGAGATGAGCACAAAACCTTTCACCCACAGAACCTCCTCTGGGGGAAACATAGACAGGGATAGAAAGGGAAGAGCTAACAACAAACAAAGATGAAGTGAAAGAACAAAATATATTATTTCTGGGCTATTCATTCATCTCTATTTGGACAATCCTACTATGGCAGGATGATTATCTGATCAAATTTAACTTTTCTAGACATTAGGTAAAGCCACCGGTCTACCTCTACAAGATTAAACAGAATACCTTCTCTACATAAATAATGAGCTAGTAGTAGAAAGTGCAACTAGTGACAACCGAAGTGAAACTTGAGCAGACTACAACTGCGAGCTCTGCTAATTTTTTCACCGTGAAGAACAGTCTGAATAGCCCAAAACTGATATGCTAGTAGAGGGATGAGCTTCTGACCCATTAATCCATTCAGAATGCTAAATCTTGATAATCCAATATGAATTTCCCTGTTATTATGAATGCCGCTGCAGTAAGGCAGCCAATAAAAGGCTGCAAAGAACTTGAAGCAGATGTCGAGGTATCAAAAACAGGAGGGGGGCTATCTCCAAAACTTGTAGGGAATCCTCCTAAAGTCGGACTGCTAGAGTTTAAGACGGATGGAGGAGTACTTGTGCTGAAATGCATTAGATTTCATGGATTACTATCCAACATTGTGAGATCATATAAAACACAGTTTGCGGACATTAGAATTATTCTTTACCTAGGTGGTGTTCCAGATGGAGATGCTGTTGTTGGTGGTGTTGGAGTTCCCGAGACTGGAGATGATGTTGTTGGTGGAGGAGGAGTTGCTGAGACTGAAGATGACGTCGTTGGTGGTGGAGTTGCTGAGACTGGAGACACTGTTGTTGGTGGGGACGAAGAGGAGGACGATGTTGGGAAAATGCAAGATCCCACGCCTATATGTAAATCAATAATGGGTAAACAGTTAGCACTTGAAGTTCTAAGTGACCATTTCATTTAAGAGAGAATTTTCTGTACTTACTAGGATTCACATTGGTTATCGCAGCTGTCCCAGCAAAGTCGCAGCTGGTCTGCACTGGATTCTTCTGATAATAGCTGTTGAAGGCATATGATGCATGGTTTTGCAAAGTGTTAGGATTATAACAGGTAGCGCCCTGCTGGATGGCCGAACAATCTGCTTTTCCAATCCCACAAGCATAATCAAGAGCCGCTTGAAGCGAACTCTGTTGTGCACCAGTCTTTGCCACGCACCAACTCTTCCCCGTAGTTGCTGGAGCATTTGTTGCTGCAGGAGGAGTCACCGGGTTTGTCACCGGAACGCCTACTCCAGTTGGGCTAGGATAAGTTGTTACGGGGTTACTCACTGGTTGACCCCCCGGTTTTGTGCTCGGGGTTGTAACTGGTGCTGGTGGATTAGCTGGATTTGTATTAGGTACAGGCACAGGGTTTGTAGAGGGAATAGTGATAATTGCTGGTGCTGAATTATTCGGAGACACGGTCACTGTGACTGGGGTTGATGGAAAAACTACATCATGTTGAATCGCTTCATAGTAAAATATTTGTCGTTCTTCAACATCCTTGAACAGATATGCTTCTGTAACACGGAGAATGCAATTATTTTTCGTGCCATTTAGACTTGTATGGTCATGTGTAAGCTTGTTCTAGTCCAAAATCACTCAAAAGTAGCATCTTTGATCACTGGATCTACAAATTAGTATCACATTTAACCATTTACTTTGGCTCTGATCCAAGAAACCAAAAGCACATTTTCTTCACTTGATTTTATTACAAAAACACATGGAAAAACAATCAAATTTTTTTTCTTAAAAAAAATTTCTCCTAAATCCTATAATCACCAATAACTTGAGCAAGATCCACTAATGGTATACAGCAAATGCAATATACAGATTTAGTACTTACCAGAAGAAGGGACAAGAAGAGTAGACAGGAAGAATAAAAACAGAACCTCTGAAGCTGGAATAGCCATTCGAACCACAAACTGTTTTTGGGTGTTTTTGGATACAGGAGAATAACCAAATGGAGTGTTAATATGAGGGTTTTCACAAAACATGACACAGATATGAAAACATGGTCATTGAGAGAGTGTGAGAGTGAGAGTGAGAGTGAGTGTGGGTGTGAAAAGGTAAAAGGAAAAGAGAGAGGATTGGTGTGACAAAGGCATTAAAAAAGAAGGGTGATTACTTTGTTACTAACGAAGTTTGAAAATGTTGTGCCTCTAACATAGAAACAATTTTAAAAAAGGCCTTTGGATAAATGGCATGGCAAGGTGGTGTCAAATGTTTGGCTAACCTTAAAACTTTCTAATTTAAGCGTGTTTAAATAAGCTACAATTTTTTAACAATAAAAAAAGTACTTATTCTGACAATTAAATAGATGTTATATTACATTTAGTCCCAATTTTTAGTGTCCCTTCACTTTCTATGTGCAATATTTAAAATCGTAATATTCAGATCTCAACATTTAACTACTTTACCATTTTTCAAACATTGTGTTGATGTATCAAGTAGAAAGCACATAGTCAATTTTTTGAGAGGGAAAAGCATCTTGACAATATTAAAATTGCACTTTTAGCACCCAACATTTAAAATTGTAATTTTCAATCCCCAAGGTAAAATCAGATTTGCATAAACAGTCCTTTTTCATCACTCTCTATCACATTTGGCGTTAATGTCCCGTGAAATGCACGTGGTTAATTTTCAGAGGACATGTCAATTGTGGTAGAATGTGATAAAAAGGAATAATTATGCCATAGGAGTTAAACAAGGGGAATTGAAATGAGTGATTTTATAGTCTGGGGACGGAAAACATAAAGAGGCTAAAGAATAAGGATTAAATATGCAATTTTTCTAGATAATGCGTAATCTAATTAATAATTATCAATAAGTTACTTTCTTTATTGCCTTCCATTACTTTTATTATTGTTACGGTCTTATTCGGATATAAAAAGCAAGATAGTGGGACCATCCATGTGATTTTTGTCGAATAAAAAGTACCCTGTCAGCCGAAAGCAAAATAGAGGCCGTTACATGATTTTAAATTTCAACGAATGTTTCAATTTTCAAATTAATGATTGACTGATATTGTCTGCTTTTGACATCTGAGAAGCGAGTTTTTCAAAGAATATATAATTAGAACATGTTTGGGAGTGATTTTGAGAATTAATTTTTTGATCGTTAGAAAAAAAGTGTGGTCCATCTGTGAGAGAAGAAGTCAAATGTGACAGCTGGAATAGTGAAATAAAGATCAAAAAATCAATTTTTTGGGAGAAAAAATCACTCTCAAATAGGCTCTTAGTGATTTTGATAATTGATTTTTTGATCTTCAAGAGAAAAGTGGGGTCACCTGTGAGAGAATAAATCAAAAATTATTGTCGGAGTAGTGAAATAACGGTTACAAATTTTTGGGATGAAAAATCACTTTTCAAACGGGGTCTTAAAAAGTAAGGAAAAATCATAAGTTCATGAGTAAAAGTATTTTGATAAAAATTAATTTTGAGAAAATCAAAATTTTGGATGCCATTATTCTACCATAATTCATTTTTTCCATCACATCAAGTGGGGCCTACGTTATAGCATGTGAATGAGCAATTTTATTCTTTATTAGCCATGCTCCCTGTCCCGGGAGGAAGACAGGTCCTGTCCCCAACCCGGGACAGGGAGATTTATTCATTCTTTATTCACCCTTTTCCATTTCTACCCCCATTTGTCAAATTTGTTGACAAATTGGGCTTGAGTATTATGGGTAAAATAGGTAAAGGAGAAGGCTAAATAATTAAAAAGGTACAACCTTTTGTCATTCATGTGTCAGGCGGCAGAATTTTTGACTGCTCAAATTACTGTGTAACGGTAAAATACATTCTACAAATGAGGTTAAAATGAGTATCAAACACGGGGTTCTTCAACATCCTTGAACAGATATGCTTCTGTAACACGGAGAATGCAATTATTTTTCGTGCCATTTAGACTTGTATGGTCATGTGTAAGCTTGTTCTAGTCCAAAATCACTCAAAAGTAGCATCTTTGATCACTGGATCTACAAATTAGTATCACATTTAACCATTTACTTTGGCTCTGATCCAAGAAACCAAAAGCACATTTTCTTCACTTGATTTTATTACAAAAACACATGGAAAAACAATCAAATTTTTTTTCTTAAAAAAAATTTCTCCTAAATCCTATAATCACCAATAACTTGAGCAAGATCCACTAATGGTATACAGCAAATGCAATATACAGATTTAGTACTTACCAGAAGAAGGGACAAGAAGAGTAGACAGGAAGAATAAAAACAGAACCTCTGAAGCTGGAATAGCCATTCGAACCAGAAACTGTTTTTGGGTGTTTTTGGATTCAGGAGAATAACCAAATGGAGTGTTAATATGAGGGTTTTCACAAAACATGACACAGATATGAAAACATGGTCATTGAGAGAGTGTGAGAGGGAGAGTGAGAGTGAGTGTGGGTGTGAAAAGGTAAAAGGAAAAGAGAGAGGATTGGTGTGACAAAGGCATTAAAAAAGAAGGGTGATTACTTTGTTACTAACGAAGTTTGAAAATGTTGTGCCTCTAACATAGAAACAATTTTTAAAAAGGCCTTTGGATAAATGGCATGGCAAGGTGGTGTCAAATGTTTGGCTAACCTTAAAACTTTCTAATTTAAGCGTGTTTAAATAAGTTACAATTTTTTAACAATAAAAAAAGTACTTATTCTTACAATTAAGTAGATGGTATATTACATTTAGTCCCAATTTTTAGTGTCCCTCCACTTTCTATGTACAATCTTTAAAATCGTAATATCCAAATCTCAACGTTAACTATTTTACCATTTTCAATCAAACATTGTGTTGATGTATCAAGTAGAAAGCACGTAGTCAATTTTTTGAGAGGGAAAAGCATCTTGACAATATTAAAATTGCACTTTTAGCACCCAACATTTAAAATTGTAATTTTCAATCCCCCAAGGTTAAATTACATTTGCATAAACAGTCCTTTTTCATCACTGTCTATCACATTTGGAGTTAATATGTCAAGTGAAATGCACGTGGTTAATTTTCAGAGAGATGTGTCAATTGTGATAGAATGTGATAAAAAGGAATAATTATGCCATAGGAGTTAAACAATGGGAATTGAAATGAGTGATTTTATAGTCTGGGGATGAAAAACATAAAGAGGCTAAAGAATAAGGATTAAATATACAATTTTTCTAGATAATGCATAATCTAATTAATAATTATCAATAAGTTACTTTCTTTATTGCCTTTCATTTCTTTTATTATTGTTACGGTCTTATTCGGATATAAAAAGCAAGATAGTGGGACCATCCATGTGATTTTTGTCGAATAAAAAGTACCCTGTCAGCCGAAAGCAAAATAGAGGCCGTTACATGATTTTAAAATTTCAACGAATGTTTCAATTTTCAAATTAATGATTGACTGATATTGTCTGCTTTTGACATCTGAGAAGCGAGTTTTTCAAAGAATATATAATTAGAACATGTTTGGGAGTGATTTTGAGATTCGATTTTTTGACCGTTAGAAGAAAAGTGGGGTCACTTGTAAGAGAAGAAGTCAAATATGACGGCTGAAATAGTGAAATAATGGTCAAAAAATCAATTTTTTGAAAAAAAAAATCACTCCCAAACAGACTCTTAGTGATTTTGATAATTGATTTTTTGATCTTCAAGAAAAAAGTGGGATCACCTGTGAGAAAATAAGTCAAAAATTACTGCTAGAATAGTAAAATAACGGTTACAAATTTTTGGAATGAAAAATTACTTCCAAACGGGATCTTAAAAAGTAAGGAAAAATCATAAGTTCATGAGTAAAAGTATTTTGATGAAAATTAATTTTGAGAAAATCAAAATTTGGATGCCATTATTCTACCATAATTCATTTTTTCCATCACATCAAGTGGGGCCTACGTTATAGCATGTGAATGAGCAATTTTATTCTTTATGAGCCATGCTCCCTGTTTCGGGAGGAAAACAGGTCCCTGTCCCCAACCCGGGAGATTTATTCATTCTTTATTCACCCTTTTCCATTTCTACCCCCATTTGTCAAATTTGTTGACAAATTGGGCTTGAGTGTTATGGGTAAAATAGGTAAAGGAGAAGGCTAAATAATTAAAAAGGTATAACCTTTTGTCATTCATGTGTCAGGCGGCAGAATTTTTGACTGCTCAAATTACTGTGTAACGGTAAAAGATATTCTACAAATGAGGTTAAAATGAGTATCAAACACGGACTTAATCACGGGGAGTTTGAACATTTTGCAACAACTGAAAAAGATTTTGAGTTGCTGCATTAAAGTGATGGGAGAAACTTGATTGATTTCTTACATGAGCACAACGAACATGGACGACAATGTCTTTGTTGATACAATTATTTTCCATACATTACAATTGTTCTTGCAAGAACATAGTTTCATTATAAATGATGTGTCACCAATCATTAAACAAAACTTCTCAATTTCAACCAAATTTCTCGTCAAAGTAGTATCGTAAACAAAGATATAACACAAAATTGGAGTTGGTTTTTAAAAGCGAAACAAATGCGTCTTCTCCGACGACATGCTTCTTCACAATTCATGAAACAAATAAGTCGCAAAAGAAAGAATCCATGGCTGCATCTTTAGTTGAACCGTTGCTGTTCAGGCACTTCTTCAAAGTAATTTTCTACCATTTTTTACTTGACATTTGTGCTGTCAACTTGATGGGATCCGTTAAATCATATTTAATGTCCTAAACAATCTGTCATGGGCTTGGTCCTAGCTGGAATTTTATAATGGAGCGGGATAACACGTCATTAATGGTCCATCTTGATTCACACGTCTCATATTCTTTTGTGTGTGTGTGTGTGAATTATTGGCATAAGATAGACTATTTAACCCTTAACTAAATTCCTACTTCACTCATCTTTCCCGTACTTGATCTTTTTATACTTTATAATACTGACGAGTAACTTCATCGTCGCCAGAGGTGACAAAATGATCGAATAGCTCATCAGTTTGTCGAAACTCGGCTCATGGTAGCTTGAGCTTTGGTGGGTTAAAACCCGAGTCGAGCTTGGGAGCTGGTCGTGAGCACGATCCACTAGCCTAAATTTCACGAGCTTGGCTTGGCTCGTGAGCTCACCTTAGACGAGCGACAAGCTCGCCACTCAGCTCATTGACAACACTAATCGTCGCAGTGTAAACAATTGTCAAACCTTTTTCTAGAACATCGTCCTTTTCCTTCAATAGGCTATCATTGCACATGCGATATATAGGTGGATGAGAGATGGCCGGGAGATATTGATGCTTGATCCTACCGGATTTTGAGGTCAACGACCACACTAATTGAAAATACATGTTATTGTATATGGTACAAAGGAAAACTCATTTTGTAATGTCCTGTGCCAAGTAGTAACAAGATGATGAAAGTGGATAGTGGTATAAAGGAAAAACTCTTTTGACGCATCCAATAAACAGTTTTGATTAGCCAATTTGCAACTACATCTGTGTCCCCAAATGTGTGTTCACTTCCAATCAGTATGTCCCAATCCAAAATAAGCTTTAAGTTCCACAGCTTGTAAAACATTTACGCTCCTTTAAACAAAGAATTATTCACATCAATCATTTCTTTTATTTGTCTTCCTCAAGAGTAAATTGCTGAGTTTCACTGTCAGAACCCTTCCAACTTAATAGAATGTCTCTGTTAAAGAAACAAGGGATATTCCTTAGATCAAAACGTGGCAACAGGAATTAATATGATGTAATAGATAGGTGGTATGACTACTAAAACAGTGCAAATCCCGGTGTTCAAATTCATTTTCTTGGAATCCTTTAGGCGATCACTGTTAAGATTTGAGATTCTATCTTAAAAAGTCAACCTTATTAAGAGAAGTAGTTCAAACCCTTTACAAATTAGTCTATGTTTTCAACTTTATTCAATGTAGGATTTTATCTCTTAGCATTCATTTTCTGAGCCGTGCTTCCCAATCCCAGTTTTCCCATACTTCTAAGTAGTTCTT